TGGTGTTCGAGTTATGAAAAAAATACTACGAACCTTAACCCCAAAATTTGAGCATGTTGTTGTAGCTATCGAGCAATCCATGGATTTCAAGACTATGAGCATTGATGAATTGATGGCAACATTGGAAATACATGAGCAACGTATTAATAAAAAGACTTCAAGTTCTCTTGAATAAGCTCTCCAATCCAAGCTTTCTTTGAAAGATGAAAAAAGAGAATTTCAAGGTAGTACATCCAAAAGAGGAAGAGGTAATGGAACACGGGGTAGAGGTTATGACAATCGAGGAAGAGGCTATGCTAATAGAGGTAGAAGAGGAAGAAGCCAATTCATTAATGATGCAAGAAATCAATTTTTTTTGTGGTTCAAGAGGTAGAGGACAAGGAAGAACAAGAGACAATTACAACAATCAAGGTTTTGACAAGAGAAATGTTGAATGCTTCAATTGTCACAAGTTTGGGCATTAGAACATATGAATTATGCCGAGAAAGCAAGTAATGAAGTTGCATCTACTTTGTTGTTGGCCTACGATGGATCCGAGGAAGATAAGGGTAACGTGTGGTTTTATGATTCCGGGGCGAGCAACCATATATGTGACAAGAAGTATATGTTTGTAGATTTTGATGAAATGGTGCAAGACAAAGTTACTTTTGGCGACTCCTCCAACATTTCCGGTGAAAAGCAAAGGTAAAATTCTTATTAAGCTCAAGAATGACAATCATGATTTCATTTCTGATGTCTATTATGTGCCGAATATGAAGAATAGTATTTTGAGTTTGGGGCAACTTTTAGAAAAAGGTTATAATATTAGCATAAAGAATCTTTACCTTACAATTAAAGATGTCCGTGGTAATTTGATTGCCAATGTGAAAATGTCCAAAAATAGAATGTTTCCTTTGAATATTCAACATGATGCTATGAGATGTTTGAATGCTATTATTAAAGATAATTCTTGGTTGTGGCACTTGAGACTTGAACATCTTAATTTTGGTGGCTTGAAGCTTTTATCTAGGAAAAAAATTGTGAAGGGTGTATTCTTGGCAAGCATCACAGATTAAGCTTCTCAAGAGAAGTCAAGTGGAGGGCATCACGACCCTTGGAGCTTGTGCCCACCGATGTTTGTGATCATTTGAATCCAATGTCAAATGGTAAGAATCGCTATTTTTTTACTTTTATTGATGACTATAGTCGGAAGACTTGGGTGTACTTTTTAAGAAGGAAGTCCAAAGTGTTTGAAGTTTTTAAGGAATTCAAGAATCTTATTGAGAAGCAAAATGACTATTTTATCAAGAGGTTAAGATCCGATCAAGGTGGTGAGTATAGTTCCGATTTATTTGAAGACTGTTGCAAGGAGCATGAAATTGTGCATTAATTCACGCCAAGCTACACACCTCAATTGAATGGAGTTGCGGAAATAAAAAATAGGACTATTCTTGATATGGCTAGAAGCATGTTGAAAGGAAAGAGTTTGCCTAGAAAATTTTAGACCGAAATCGTAGCATGTGCAGTGTACTTATTGAATCGATGTCCAACCAAAAGTGTTCGTTTCAAGACCCCGGAGGATGCTTAGTGTTCATTCAAGCCAAGTGTAGCTCATCTTAGAGTTTTTGGATGCATTGCTTATTCGAAAATTCCCGAAGCAAGGAGGACAAAACTTGATGATAAAGGTGAAAAGTGCATTTTTCTTGGGTATGGTGATAGAACAATGGGGTACAAGTTATACAACCTCATTATCAAGAAAGTGATCATGACTAGAAATGTAATCTTTGAAGAGGAAGACACATGGGATTGGAAAGAAAAAAATTTCACCCACCGAAGTGGACTTATGCTTGAAGAAGAAGTCCAAAGAACCAAAGAAAGTCCAAAGAGAGCCACAAACACCTCCACATGGATCCCCCTCACTTTCTACGAGTGAATCATCATCACCATCATCATCTTCATCATCGGATTCAAGTTCAAGTGAAATACCAAGGAAAATGAGAAGTTTGCAAGAGATTTATGAATCTACGAAAAATTTTGAAGGTAACTTGAATTTATTTTGTTTGTTCATGGGTTGTGATCCTTTATGTTTTGAAGAAGTGATTCAAGAAGAGAAATGGAGAATAGCAATGGATGAAGAAATGAAGGCAATTGAAAAAAATGATACATGGGCACTAGTTAGCCTTCCCAAAGGTCATAAAGTAATTGATGTGAAGTGGGTATATAAAACCAAGAAGGATGCAAATGGTGAAATCCAAAGATACAAGGCAAGGTTGATTACTAAAGACTACAAGCAAAGGGCCAGAATTGATTATGGTGAGGTATTTGCTCCTGTTGCTCATTTGAAAACAATTAGATTGATGATTTCTTTGGCGGCACAAAACAAGTGGAAGATTTACCAACTTGATATGAAATCGACATTTTTGAATGGATTTCTTGAGGAAGAGATTTATGTTGAACAACCTTTGGGGTATATGAAAAAGAGACATGAAGATAAAGTGTATAAGTTGAGAAAAACTCTCTATGGATTAAAGCAACAACAATGCTAGACTGACCAAATTTTAGGACCAAATTTAGAGCCCAAATGACATTACAACTAATTATTTGGAGTTTTTATTGGGATCCAAATGACATGACACCAATGAAAGAAATCCAAGTTAACTGCCATGTTATTTGGACTCCAAATTTGGTCCCAAAATTTGGTCAGTGTAGTATTACTCTTAAAGCAAACACCACGTGCATGGAATGCCAGAATTGACAAATACTTTCATGAAAATGGTTTTCAAAAGTGTTCTTATTAGCATGCATTATATATGAAGATAGATGGCAATGGAAGTGTGCAACTTATTTGCCTTTATGTTGATGACTTGATCTTCACCGGAATGATCCAATGATGTTTGATGGATTCAAGAGAAGTATGATTAAGGAGTTTGAAATGACTGATATTGGCTTAATGTCTCATTTCCTTGGTATTGAGGTTAAGCAAAGTGAAGTTAAATTTTTATTTCTCAAAGTAGTTATGCAAAGGAAATACTCAAGAAGTTCAAGATGGATTCTTGCAACCCGGTGAACACACCCGTAGAAATTGGATTGGAATTGAAGAGAAACGTTGATCCAACTTACTTTAAAATTTTAGTTGGAAGTCTTCGATATCTTACTTGCACAAGGCCATACATTTTTTATGGAGTTGGTTTGGTTAGTAGATACATGGAAACACCGGATCAAACTCATCTTAATTGCGGTAAAGAGGATTTTACGTTATATTAAAGAAACACTCAATGATGGCTTGTTTTATTCTTGCACTAATGACTTTAGAAATGTTGGATATTCGGATAGTGATTGGGGATGAGACTTGGATGAAAGGAAAAGTACCTTGGATTATTGTTTTTTCATGGGAGATACAATTTTTACTTGGTCATCCAAGAAACAAGCAATTGTTACTTTGTCTACGTGTAAAACGGAGTACTTGGCTGAAAATTCAACGGTGTGTCATGCTATTTGGTTGAGGAACTTGTTGAATTATTTGGAATTTTTTCAAGAAATTCTCATGGAGATCCTTGTTGATAATAGATCGGCGATGGCATTGGCAAAGAACCCGGTATTCCATGAGAGAAGTAAACACATTGATACATGCTACCATTTTATTAGAGAGCATGTGAAGTTGGTGCATTGCAAGACTCGGGATCAAGTTGCCAACATTTTTACAAAGCCATCAAAGCATGATGTGTTTGGAAGATTGAAAATGATGCTAGGCATGAGAACCCAAGGATTTGAGTTTAAGGGGGGATGTTAGTTTTTATAAACTCAATTCTTAAAGAGTAGTTTATGTATTTTTGGGTTTATGATAAGTCATGATATTTGAAGAGATAGTCACTAGAATTGTCCAAAATATTTTGGGAGGAGTTTTCATGTATTTGGAGGAGTTTTCATGTACTTCTACATGAAAAAATGAAGAGACAAAGTCTGGTTTAATGCTTGGAGACTGATGGTCAATGAATGGGTAGATTCAAGGACTTTTGGCTGAAAACAGAGGTATAAAAAGGGTTGGAATGTTGCTGCAAAAACAGAATGTTATCTGCAAAAAAAACAGAGGGAAAACAGAGAGAAAAACTATTTTTTGTTGGGAAGAAAAACCAGCAGGTGTGTCTTTGAGCAGAAGCTCCGTTTGTAAGTTCTTTCATAGCTTAATGTGTGGTTTTTCTTGCTGAAAAATCAGATTGGTCTACTCCTTTGTATTCCTTGATATTGTGATCATTTTTATAAAATATAGAGGTGTTTCTTGAGTGAAATTGGTGTGAATGTATAGCAGATTTTTTTTGTCTCTGTTTTACTTATCTTTGGTGAACTATTTTGTCAATACCCAACAAACCTGAATCTTCAAAACGAAGTAATGAAGATACCGAATATGTGACAATAATATAATGTTTGACGAAATTCCAAAGAGTCCTCAAATCAAAATGGCTTATCAGCTTCAGCCCAATAGTTAGGAATAGGATTAGGAAGCTCCATTAGTGTTTGATGAATTCCCAAAGCCAAGAAACCATGACACAGATAAAACACAATTATAAGGATGTTTTGATGCTATGTCATTGCATCATGTAGAACATAATTGCAAATAGGAAAAGCCTTTTTCTCTCTAGTAAATGATGGCAGAAGCATATTTGTTCTCCCTTGTGCCTCATTCTATGTGAAGGATCCTTTCAGCTATGTGCTCAACCTCACATTATGTTCTCAAGAGTCCTCCCTCGCTATTCCCAAGCACCTCGATTATTACATAACTTCAACAAGTATGGTTTCATAACCATGGATGATCGACTATGACTCATTGTCCCACCATAATTCATGGCATCCACAAAGAAACATTTTTCCAGTAATAAAGTCCCATGACATATAAATCAATGGGTCTACAGATCAATGTAATGGTAAAATTCTGACCTAAGTTAATCAGTTCAGAAAAGTTGTACACGTGAAGCTTGAGCCTTTCATATAAAGTATTTGATATTCATCTTAGTTTTAGGGAAGATTTAGCTGGCCACTAATAATTTCTCATCTACAAAAGCCACCACATAAAACTAGAGGTGCAAGTTATGAAATCCATGCAAATTAAGAACAAAAATTGAAGAATTCCACTTGTTCAACATATTAAAGAACAAAGACAAGAAATACTGACATACCAATATGGTCATTTTGGTGAAAATTAATGGAACAAACCTGAATGAGGAGAAACTTTGCAGGTTGATCACTTGGACAATGTAGCTCAACTTGCCAGATGTTTTCGTAGGATAGCTCAAGCTTGTAACCAACATCAAGATGGGATAGGATGAAGTACATTTTTCTCAGTGCGATCCCAAATTTTACAGAAGCATTTGCCTTTTTCCAAAGAACTGAAAAATTCTCCCTTGAGGTCCGACACCCAAAAAGTAGAGTAACATGTTCCATGCAATGCATATACGTCCGTGGCTTTGGTATGATGTCAGGTCCCATTTTCCTAGCTTTCAAATTAAAAGACTGATAACGGAGGCCTTGTTTTGCCAATGAGATGATATGCTTAGCGCTTCTCTCATTGGTAAATTGTACTTTAGCATATGCTCTAACCCCTCGTTTGGAAACCTGAACTTCTAAAGCATACACAGTTCCTTTGCCTGTATGATCCTCAAGAAATTTCTTAACTTCTACTACAGACACAGGGCTAGGAAATCCATTCACCTGAATTGTCTTACCCATCCAGCTTAAGTAATTTTAACTGCAGTTCAACATACAGATTTGAATCATAAAACTGAAACCGAAACAAACCATCAAATAACAATGACATTTATCAGCTGATCATCTACCAAAGAGAGTAAGAAAGAAATCACTGATAATCTATCAAAAAGAGTGAGAAAGATATCACCTGATAAAATTTTCTATCACAAGATGCTGGAACACAACTTAATCAAAACAAAAGCAACATTTCACCCAGAGAATGGTTTATAGCTTTGGTTCTTTTTTTTCCTTTCCCATTTCTCTTGGTCGCTATAAGAAGGTTCAAATTGTTCTTTAACTCCCCTTCTCCACCCCCAAACCTTTTTTATTGTCTTCCCTGTCATTCTATGCAACAAATGTGAAAAATAGCCTCTTTCATACGAAATAACACTATCTGGCCTAACTTTTGGTAAGTTTACCCAAAATAACTACTCTAAGACTCGTACCTATGTACTTCATTGTTGAACTTAGAAGTCCCCCTAACCCATCCAAAACATGTGAACAAGAAATAAATTGAAGATTTGAAATCTTATGAAGTTTTGCTAAATCAAGTTTGATTTCGTAGGCATTTTCAGCATAAGCAAGTTCTTGAATACTTTACTTCTATTTCATCATAATTCAAATGTTAAAGGTGTTTTAGGTAATTTCAGTAGTTGTTGGACATCAGTTGTTTAGTTCTTAGCCAATTCATCCCATTAGGTCATTTTGGGTGATCTTTAGATATCTCTCATAATAGTGTTACAATAAATAGCAAACATTTTCCCAATGCTTAGTCTTTGTCCTACTGGAATTAAGAGAATCTCTACAGCCTAAAATTATATTTTGATTTCCCAATTTAATAATAGCATATTTATGCAAAACTTCTGGAACTTTGTGTGATGCTTATTGTAATCTAATCTTAATTATTACTTAGAAAGTAATGACACAAATATGATAAAAGAGTACAATATGACACAAACATATCAACACAAAGAAACATAAAAAATAGGATAGAGATATTGCTAGGATTAATCTGCAACATATTATATTGAACATTTTTTACTTTTATCTGACAATTCGACAATTATAATATTTTGTAAATTCTCTAACAACAATTTGTAAAATAACTAATTTTATTTTACAAAGTGAACATGATTAATTAAAGGAAACAGAACTATCATTGTAAACCCCCACACTCTTATCTTTATATAGCAAGTAATCATTTCTTTTTGAAATGCTAATATACGTAATGGAGTCTGCATGAATTAAGTAGATTGTAAGAGTAGAGATAACAACGTTAATAGTGTAGAATCGGGTAATATTTAGTTCAAACTTAGTTTTGACTTGTAAATATATGAAATCGTTTGCAATAGAACTTATACCAACTATGTTTGATGTACAAATGTATGTTGTATAAGTTTGAGTTGGTTTTGTAAGGGTTTGGAATGAAAAATAGAGGAAATAGACAAATCTAGACAGGACCTACCGGTAGTACGCTGTCCAGTGGATCCGAATTACCGGTAGTCAACAGGTAGTAAATTTCCAGTAGATCCGAACTACTAGTAGTCAATAGGTAGTAAGTGGCCAGTGGATACGACGAGCTACGGGTAGATCGATAAAAAATCAGAATTTTTATGTTTTAAAACCTCATTTTCACTCCATTTTCTCTCATTCTTTCATCTCACTCTCACCTCAAACCTCTTAGAACCCTAATAGAAAGACTTAGAGAGGAAGAGAGAAAGGAAAAACAAGAGTTTTAAGGGTGATTCAAGATCAAATTTTATTGTCCTTCACACCAAAGCCAAGGAGAAAGGTAGGGGTTTCTACCATTCTTGTCTGTTGAGGCTAGGGCTTATATGTATATGTATGTTTTTCCTCTCATTTATATATATATGTTATGAAATCATCCTTTCTTGTTATTTTTGCAAAGATTAACATGTTTTAAACAAGCTATGGTTAAATAACCATGAAAACTCTTTTCTTGACTCAAAACCCTAGATTTCAAGAGAAATGAGTTTTCCTCTTGACTCTTTCTTTATTCTTGATTTCGAAACCCTAGTGTTTTGTGTTGAGTAATAAAATTATATTTGTGATGATCTCTTGCTTAATTTCTTAAATTTCTCTATTGGAAAAATGCCGATAAAATTGGGAATTTATGATTTACTTATGATTTGAGAATTTGGTTGGAATTGCATCTCTGGTATGGTTGTTGTAAGGGACTTGAATTGCATTCGAGCACTGCCGTAGAGTATTAGAGGTTAGTCTATCCCAGTGGGGGTGAGATGGTTGCCTAACACTTGTAGTGATTTGTTGTTTGTGAGAGCAACCACTATTGTTCACGTAAGTTCAAACTTAGGGATGGTATACCTTTCCTGGTAATGATTCGTCAATGTCGTGGGAGATGGTATACGTCCTTCCTAAAGTGGTTTGTGTGGTTATGATTAGGTGAACGAGATAGAGTCGTTGTGTAGATTCATGGGAAGCAACCAACATACTTGAGAATATGTAATGACACTATTGAACGATTATGGTTAATGTGTGGAATTGGTTTCCTACAAGAGCTTGTGGAGATATGAGACTCTACTAGAACTTGTGGAAAATGGTTAATGATTGTAAATGATTTGTTAATACCATAAACGGTTTCCTCAAGAGCTTGTGGAGGTATGAGACTCTACAAGAACTTGTGGGAAATGGTTTATGGTTGAAATGGTTTATTGTTGAAAAATTCATTTTTACTGTTCATTTAAATTATTGTTATTGCGTAAACTTGAGATCCGTTGAAATGTTCCAATTTTATTTCAAAAAAAGTTGATATATGATATTTACAAAATGAGGCCGACTTACTTTATACATTTTTTTTTAAACCTTGTTCAAGTTTGGGAGGAATGTTGCTACAGAGCTTAGTTTTCACTCCCTACAAACAATATATTTATAGATTATGTGTTAGATGAGGAGCTCAGAGTCGATGAACAGGTACATCGAGAAACTCTACTAGATGGGCACGTAGAACCAGTGTTTTAAAACCCGGCTCAGACCGGGGGGTCAACTCGGATAACCGGTGAACCGGTCTCCTAACCGGGCCAGTTCTACTAAAAAATCGTTTATGTATGGAACCCGGTATAAACTCGTTGAACCGATTAAAAATCGATAAACTCGAGAGAACCAGACGAAATTATAAAAATCGGACGGGTTAATGTTATTTGTATAAAATCTGAGATTGAGTTTTTTTTTTGATTTTTCCCCTTTTGCCCTTTTTGTTTGCTTTGTTCTGTTGCCCTAAAGTTAAACTAAATTGATCCACAGATTGGAGGCAAAGCCTTGCCTCCACCACCAACCCCACGACTGACCACCCATAGCCACCACTTCGCCTCCATCACCAACCCAACGATTGATCACCTACGGCCACCACCTCGCCTCCAGCAGCAGCAATCAGCAGCGATCAGTAGCGACTGATGTCACTGACCACCACCTTGCCTCCACCACCTCGTCTCCATGGTTCCATTTCCACCAGCTACGACTACAGACCCTGTGACCACCAGTGAGTTTCCCTCTCTCTCTCTCTCTCTTTCTCTCCCCCTTTTTCTCTGTCTTAGTCCAATTCTTGTTTGATACTTTGGTAAGTTGGTTACATTGTACAATTCCTCTCTCTCAATTTGTACATACACAGGTGTGTAATTTGGATTTTTATTTTGCAATTAGATGAGGTAAATTCATCGTTGGTATTTGGTAATCAAAATCGACTATGTGTAATACTGTATTTCTATCCAAGGTTGTATATGGCTTCCATAGAGTTAATGCGAGTGTGCTTGAGAGATATATATCTAGATCTGTAAAGAATCAATATTATTTTATCAATTGCTAAATTGGAAAGTTTGCATTATTCTAATCTAAAATTCTATCACTGGAGATCATTCCCAAGCAAACCAGAGGCCTACTTATAATTAGCATGTTGGGAGTTTGGCACTCAATTAGGCTAAACAAAACTTTGCCTCAACACGTAGGTTGGTTGCATGTTGGGAATTTCTATCACTATTTGATGTTATTTTTTATAATTATTGTGATTTTTTTAGCTTATTTTATTATTATTTTTTAATTTTTTATATTATTACCGGTTCAACTAGTGATCCAACGGTTGAACCAGTGACCCGTTGACCCGGTCTCTTTCGGGGTTGATGTCCGGGCCGGGTTTTTAAAACACTGCGTAGAACCCGAGATGGATGCTTAGGGCTATATTCTCCTAGGTACTAGACTAGGAAATTCCTTTTTAGACTCCGTGGAGTCTAATCTTGTTGTTGTTCAACTGAAGTTAAATTTGAATCTTTTGGATGTAAATGTCATAGTTGGGCATAT